AAAAAAAAAAAAAAAAAAAAAAAACCATTGAGAATCTTGATACCTTCAATTTTCCGTAACTTACCAGTAATTGGCATGTACTCCTTCCTTTGAGATGGAATGTATCCCCATATCGCACTTGTACTAAAAACAAACACATCAACAATCTTGATTTGCTTTCCCTTCTGGGAGCATGTGTGCATATACATAGTATTCAATTGTCAAGAGCCTTTCTTTTTTCATATAGATTCTCTATTATCTCGACCATCCAATACTTTTATTTTATCTTTGGCCATTGGCCTGTGAAATACTAATTTTAAAGAGATAGATCCGTGCTGCTATTCATGCTATTTTAGCATTTGATTATCAACTATGCGTTTCAATCGACCCATTTTTTTAATATACGACAGAAATTGTGATATTTATTTGTTTAAATAGCATTTTTTTTAAAAGAAGTCGATTTGCTGTTGTTTTTGTCGATTGAGCTACTTGAACATATACATATTCTAGTGTTATATCGTCTAATCTTTATGCACAAACTACCTTTATGTCTTTATGAAGCCTAAAAATGCAATTATATGTATTACTATCTTGAAACAAGAAGCAATGAATTGCTTTGTCTCGTTTACAGCTTAACCACCGTTTACTCGCTACTGCAACCTTAGTTTCAATTGCTACCTTATGGCGGTCAACAAGGAAGCTGGAGATACATCCTGCAGTTCGTTCTTTGATTGGGAGTACATTCGGCATGGCTGCTCTTCAGGTAACTTTTCCCCCTTCCATGATCTTATGGAGGCTTATCCATTATAAAAAGGCTCATTACTTATTTGGGATGGGAATGAAATTATTCACTCTCTGCTGTTATTTGCTGTACTTGAGCTCATTCCTTCAGTATCCCACACCACAATTAGAGATGAGATCCTTATATAAATGAAATTCCTTGAGGTATCAATTTCAGCCTATCTTTTCCATCTTTTTTCCATCTTTAGCATTCTATCAATGATAGTTCGTGGATCGTTGGTTGCTTTCACCTTTTTCCTAGTCAGCTTTCTTGGTATCTTTATCCTCTTTGCCAGTATGGTTCTCATGATGCACTGTGGATCCTCCATTGTGTTAGGGACCAAGCAAAGGATAATTGGTGTTATTGGAGTTGACCTCTAGGGGCATTTGGGGGATGGGCTTGACTTCCTTTGGGTTTGGTTTCAGAAGCCAAGCCCATGCTACAAAAAATTGCACCCCAAACACAGGTTCAGAAACTCAGGCTCCCAACCCAGCCCCCAAACACGAGTTTTCTGCTTCCCAGACTTGAGAACCTCAAATAAACCCCCACGCTTCCGATTTCGCTAAATCCCCCTCCATGTCTATCACTTCTCCATTCATTTCCAGTTCTGATATGTGCTGATTCTAATTACTTTTTTTAGTTTGAATTAGATGATAATAGTAAATATTCAGCATTACATTGGACCAGCTGATAACATCCATGTATTGATAATGAAAAGTCAGTTGTTGGAAGGTCACTCTACATCTCTTCAAGAAAAAAAAAAAAGTCATTAAGATCTTCACAACAGTCGATTAATTTCTTATTCCATGCATTAGTTAGAAGATGAAGGAGATCAAGAACCATTATAAATGTACATCCATATAACTGAATTTATTACATTTCAATTCGTAATTCTCATTGCCACCTGTCACATTCCAGTTCTCTAGTCCTCTTGCTGCTGAATGGTCTACATTTTGCATAATACCAACTATTTTGTCGCTCAGGTCACCTTAGGAGTATCGACACTTCTATCTTATGTCCCGGTTTCTCTCGGAACTGCGCATCAAGCGGGGGCATTGACCCTTTTGACCCTCATAATTCTTCTTAATCACACTGTGAGGAGGCCATCAATGTCCCTTTTGAAGTCTCTTCCCCAGGTTGTGAAAACAGCCTAGACTAGACAGACTTTCCAGGTACACTGCTTCTGATTTCAAATTAGGTTTAAAGTTGGATGCATAAATTTATCTCAATTTTTCGGTTTCGTTTTGTGATTTTTGCGAAGAACGAGTACTGTTATTCTGTGTTGGGTGTCGGGGGGAGGGGGAGGGGGAGGGGGAGGGGGCACAATTTATATTTGGAATGCATAGACAGATGATGGTTTTATTAGCTCTAACTGTTTTTTTTTTTTTTATATATTATCCAATTTGGAAAGAAGAATTTTTTGTTCATGCCTTATTTACCTTTTTGCCCCCTGAAATTGGAAGTAGTGGGCCATAAGGTGATGACCATTTAGTAATTGTGCAAATAATAAATAATAATAATAATAATAATAATAAAATAAATAAATAAATAACATGTTTAAATTTGTAAAGTTGTTAAATAGGCCTTTAAACTTGGTATGTGTAGTTTAGTAAAATTATGGTCTCTGAGTTTTCTTACGACTCTTGTGATTTGTGATTTAAGATGGATAGGATTTTGATTCTAATTATGGTAGGTTTTTTATTATTATTTTTATTTTAAAAAATATTTTTCATTTTTTGTCTTAACTCTTTTCTCATTTAATTTTAAATTTTTTAAAAATGAAATCTTTGTTTCAGATCTGAAACGAGGTTGGTCCCCATTTCAGGACATTAATTAAAATAAGAAAATAAATAAATGTGGGAGGACCTCCCTCGTTTCGTTTTAGATCTGAAATAAAAATTTCAATCTTTTATTTAAAATTAAATGTGGCAGAAGGAGAATGGAAAAATAAATGAATTTGAAAATAAAGGAAAATCTAAATAGTATTACGAAATCCAAACTTCACGTATCAAAAAATGGTTAACTAATAATAATTTTCATACCAAAAAAAAAATTTAATTAAATGGATATATTCACAATTTATAAGTATGAATGAGCTAATTGCATAAATTAATTTGAGATTTGTTGATATTATAAACATTAAAATTAAATATTAGTTCAATGATCAAAATACTCTGAGGATTATTATAGCTGAGAACTAGTTAGAGAGAATAAATTTAAAGATAATTGAGAATGTTTATTTAATCTACTGTGAAAGTTATCTTATTTATATTCAAATAAGTTAGGATATACTTATAGGGATATGCACCTAAATACACTATACCTAAGGGATATGGAAAGAGTAATAAATGGAAAGAACAAAATAGCTTAATCATGATGTAAAAGTTGTCTTATTTATATTCAAATAAATGGAGAGAACAATATATGAAAAGATACTTATTAGTAAGAAAGACAGATATTTATTATATTTGCCTATAATAAAAATATTAAATATGATATATATGGTAAACTATAATTTAGAAACTCAATCCCAACTATATCAAAGATATTGAAAGCATATAATAAAGGCAATTGTTAAAGCAAGTCTTCCATCTTAGTGGGTATAAAGTCAAAGCAATTTCGCAATGTTGTGATGAAAGAAGGCATGTTCATTCCAAGGTCAGTATCTTCAGGTCACTACCACACTTGTTTGACTTGTTCAACATCAAGTTTCTCCACTCCACAAATAAATTTGAAACATTTACAAAATATCAGATCAAAGGCAATAATACTTTTAAGTTTTGAAGGGATATAGGATATATATATATATATATATATATATATATATATATATATATATATATGTTGAATAGTGTTTGGATTGAAGCAGTCAAGATAGGTACGGGCCAAGCAGTCTGATCAAAGGGGTAACAATAATATTGAGATTGAGAGAGACTTGCCAATGTCCTTATTCCATTCTCTATGTCCAAGGGTGGGCCAAATCCCCCATACACCTATTTTTGTTCATATGCCTTGTTTTATTTGGTTCATTTCTACCTAACGTGAGATTCACGTTAGTTCGAAAGGAGAACAAAGTATTCTAAAAGTGTGAAAACTTCTCCTTAACATACGTGTTTTGAAATCATGAGGCTGACGACGATACATAATAGGTTAAAGCGGACAATATCTACTAGCGATAGGCTTGAGCTGTTAGAAATGGTATTAGAACTAGTCATCAAACAACGGTGTGCCAATGAGGACGCTAGCTGCCAAAGTGAGTATATTGTGAGATCTCACATTGGGTGGAGAGGAGAACGAAGTAGTTCTTATAAGAGTGTGGAAAGCTCTTCCACCAAACGCGATTTAAAACTGTAAGATTGACGTCAATACCTAACCGGTCAAAGCGGATAACATTGGCTAATGATAGACTTGAACGGTTACTTTCTTTAATTTTTGAATGATTTATTTACAAAAAAAAAAAAAAAAAAAATGAAAACCTATCACCCGTCCTGTGGACAGACATTTATTAATCAGGTAACTGAACTAAAGAGGCAGATTAATTGTATGAACTGAAATGAAGTTAAAAATAAGCATGAAGGTTTACATTTGGAGGGGGCAATAAAAGATGAACAAACTAAAGGCTGAGGGAGCTGTGTTAAGTGTTTGAAGTGCAGGGCAAGTAATGATAACAATAATGACAGCATTGAAGGAACAAAAGCCAATGGAAAAGTTCCACTCTCTCGATATCCACAAAAGTTAAGCCACTGTAACATATGCATTATCTCATCAGGCCATTCAGCATTTTTTTTATCTATAAATGAAAGACAAACAGCTCATACATATACGACACAAACAGTAAATTTTCAGTTTCGAAGGGGAAGAGGGATTTGGAACCACTTAAAACCTGTATATATAACTTAACGAGGGATAATGCAAATTTGAAAAAGAACACAATAACAGGGTGGTGGTGGTGGAAGGGAGAAGAATCAATCATGCTCACCTTGATTCCCAGGATTTGCTGAGTAACTATTTGGTAATATGTGTTATCCATTAGATTATCTGCAAAAACATGGGTTTGGGAGCTTAGCCAGAGGAGCAATTCCTGAAATAAATGGAGTTTGAGAAGTGATTAGAAGCATCAACGAACCTGGTTCTTGAGTTCCCAAGAGATAGCTCTAGGTCATCTGAGCCACACTCCTCGTGAATTCGTTCTCCTTCCCATGGCTTCACTATTCCTGCTGTGTTGCTTCCAAATGCGAACTCTTCAGAGATCACTTCTGACATTGGAATATCTGCAGTGTGATCGGAGCCTGCGGCAATGGCAGGAGAGCAGGTCCCACTTTGACCAGGGGTCCACATGCGAGATCCTCCACCAGTCATTGCTGCTTCCTTGAAACCAAATGGGTTTGTAGAAACAAGACTAAATGTTGGAGAATTGGGTCCACCCTGAGGAATTCTAAGGCCAGCGAACCATTCTGGATTGGGAACAACGTGACGTCCAGGACTTGGTGGAGTAGAAGATGGAAGGGAGGAATAGTATTGTGCATTCCATCCTGGTAGGACAGATTGGTCTTCCCAGTCAGCTTTGGGTCGGGGCGTTCTAGCAGTTGGGGAACTCAAAGGAGGAGTAACAGGAGCACTGATGGAACCTCCATGAATATGGAGATTGGGGAGTTTAGACGAGGATGCTGAAGATGATGACGATGAAAGGTTCCTGAGCCAGGGGATTAGAAAACTGCCATCGGCATTTGGATTAGCAACATATGAAGATGATGCTGGACTTGGAAATGAAGATGAACCGGGGCTTGGATTGAAGGAAGCACAAGGACTTGGTTGGTGAGATGCGAACGGGCTTGCAGCTGCCGACCCACCAACCACATCCATACGTTGAATTGGCTTGCATCCCTGAAGACAGATGAAAAAACATTGTAGAGTATGGATGATAGGATACACTGAATTTGAAGGATTATCTAACATCATGGCCGCAGGAGATCTTACTCGAGCCAGTTACAATCGAAAAGAAGAATGAATACTGAAAATCAAGCAACAATCATCAAGGTGTATAGAAAAACATTATCGATCATTTCAATCCAAGTTCACCCCACCCAATATAAATCAAGCTATAAACAGTTTATGCCACAACATTGTATGATCTCAATATTCCCCATTTCTCTAGTGTCCAAGATACAAAATGTCTGCAGAAAATCACACCCCAAGCCGTGAGGAACTCATAAATTCATCCATGGTAGCAGTCTAAAAGTGGCGTACATGAAAGTAGAATATCAATGGACAGGCATGGCGGCGGTTGACCACCAAAATTTCTCAGACTACAAGAGTATGGTCCAATTTACCGCACGAATATGGCTGGCAGTGAGAATGCATTTTGGTTAATATCTCCACTGCATAATCGAGCCTGTAATTCTCTCAAAATTCATGTATAACTTGCTAGGTTGTAGTTTGAAATATGATGAAGGAGGAATTGTTTTATGGACGAAAATAGCTACACAGTGCCAAGAAAGAAGAAAAAAGATACCACCCATGTCATGATCCATACGTACTAATTGCTTGAGAGAGATACTAACAGAATGAAATGTGAACCTCGGAAAATACATAAGACCCGAGGCCAAGAGCTACTCAACAGGCTATAGATGTCAGCGAGTACTTTACTTCCTGAACCAAAAATTAATGAAACTGCAGAAATCAATAAAAGAAGGAATCCGTCACGGGAAATAGGGGCAGAGCCAACTCCAAAAGGAAAGGAAAGAGACAGAGCTGAAAAAGGCACTGTTTGCGTCGCAAACTTGCCATTGAAAAAGAAAAGCAAAAAGAGAAAGATCCCTCTGACTAAACCTGCCCCCGTAGAAAGGAAGAACAGTTGGTAGGCTAAATACCAGCCAAAACCCTCAAAATCACAGATCCATATGGTAGAGGTTAAAAAATGGAGAACGGCACCTCCTCGAGATCTGCGTAGTTCCAGCGCCTCCCTCAGACTATTAGTCATGTAGAAGCATGAAGAATCTTGCTTCACGCGGAAAAGGCATAAAAAAAATGTCAAAAGTTCACCTCACCGCAATTAGATAACCGACGCCGACGAAGGAAAGGGGTAATGGGTCAAAAAGGCGACGTGAACTGTCCTTTAGAGTATGAAAAACTTATACTAGACTCCAACACCTAGATGCTCCATTTTTCATGACTGGAATTCTCAACCAGGGCCATGGATTTGCCCGCCCAAATGTACCAGAAGAATGATATAGGATGTTTAGAACAACTAATAAGGAAACTATCGAATTGGCTCAACAAATCCGAAGCTAAAAAGTGTATACTCTCAACTCGAAGCTAAAGAAAGTGGTATCATCATTTTCAGCAATATCAAAGAATGCAAACGAAAGTGAAGTCTACTTAAAGTTAACAAAAATGAAATCCAAACACTTGAAAGAAAGCTACCTTACGGTAAGTGGTACCATCAAGTTCGACGGTCCATCCCGCCTCATCGCAGAGCGCTTTAAGGACCTCATTGTTGTCGCAATGTTTGGGAAGCTTGTAGTTCCCATACATCCTGAGTCCAGCAAAGATCTTTGCTGCGATAGCTCTTCTCCTTCTCTCCCTTCTCTTGTTGTTCTCCCGCTCCCTCCATGTTGGTAGTCTCGTCCCCGACGTCATCTCCACAGACACACTCTGGACCAACAAATCAAAGTCCCCACGGCTTCAACAGATAGATCAGTAAGCAATTCTTTCGAATTGCCTCCGTCTATCACAAGAAGAACACGATTCAATTACAATCACAAACAAAACTTCACAGGAACAGACACAAATCTTCCAACAGAAATCAACTCGAGTCCAAGGATCGAAACACAAAATAAACTGAGTGTAAAAACCTCTTTCGCAACTTCGAAGTAGACAAGTCGGACAAGAAAGACAAAAGTCTAGAAAACGGAGAATTCCTCGAGGCTCTGTAACAAGTGAATGAAACGAACTGAAAGAGAAGTACAAACCGCTGGATAAATCAGACAAGAAACAACAAAAAGTAAGAAGAAGAAGAAGAACTGAATATATCTGAATTGGATACTCGCCGAAGGCTCCGATCAAATACGGCGATCGGATCTTAGATCGGACCACCGCGAACGGCGGAGGAAAGTGTTCTCTTTTTTTCTCTGGCAAAGCCCGGGAAACTAGAGGAGAAACATTTCCGTGAAAAATGGAAGGGTTGGAAGCACAGAATAAGAAGCTTAATGAGCTTATGGGCTTTTTAATAACCAATATTACCCTTTTATTTACCGTTCTGCCACTACCTTTTCATTTCATTTTCCATTTACTTTTTTAATCTCTTTTTTTTTTTCTTTAAACTTTTTATTTTGGAAAGTAAATAAAATTATATTTTCAAAATAAAATTTTATAGTAAAAGTTTTTATCTTTATTTTATAGTTTCATATCGGACCTTAGACAAGATTTCTCTTTCATCCATCGAGCACAATTTATAAAAATTCAAGTTTGTTCGGTTACACACGCTACATGGGCGTGTATGCTCAATCATTTGTGACATAACCAACTTGCCTCTACGTTATGTCAAGTAATTTTAGCTCGACCTTACCTTTACTCGAAATCAATGTCTCTCATTATAACGTTGCATCTCATCATGTCATCTTAGTTCCCCATTAACATGGTTTATATATCATGACATCATCTCAATTATAGGGTGTGATCCCCATCGCAACTCGCTCGGTCATGTCACTAAGAACGGAGCCACGTGTCATTCATAATATCGAGATAAAAAAAGATAGTATAAATACGATGAAAAAGGATGTAATTAGTGAAAATGGTAGTGGCAACATAGGCATATATAAAATTTAAAAAAAGAAAGAAAAAAAAAACAAAGAAATAAAGAAATAAAATAATAAGATGGGGTTTGAAGTTTGAATAACCGTCTCTGACAGAGAACCAAACAGAGTTCGACAGGTGGAGCTTGTGTGGAGTGGAGTTTCTCAACGGCCTCTATAGAGAAGCTACACGTGTCGGGTTTTTTCGGCGCACGTGAGAGAGAGTATGATTTTCGGGTCGGGTCGAGCTTTGGGATATATTTGGGTGTAGGAAGGAGCAGCACATAATGATGGGGATGCGAGTGGTGTTTGGCTTTGCTTTATCTGCTTTTTCACGTGACCCCACCCTCATATCACGCCAATAAGCACGACCTTTCACTTGTGGGTCCCGCCCCTGCCCCCATCGGGCCCCACTCTTACCTCACTTTTATTTTTTTATTTTGTAAAAAATAAAGTAATTTTCTTTTTACGTTTTTTAATAATATAAATAATTTTGTACTCATTTAATTTAGGTCCAATTACTTGGTTACTATGCTTCAAGTATTAATACTTTTGATTTTGTAAATTATGTGAAATAAAGAAATTAACAGATAAGACATTAAAAATGTTAAAAAAATATTTAACAAACACTCCTAAAAATTATTTAATAAATACTCATAAATTTTTTAAAAAATAAAATAAAATTTAATGTGGATTGAAATATAAATTCGAGATAAAATTAAAATTAGAATGGTATAGCAATGACGTATAATAAATAAATAAATAAATAAATTTCACACCTTTCTAATTTATTTATACTCTAAAATTAATTATAAAATATTATAACTTTAAAAAATATAATTTTTTAAATAGAAAAAAGTGAGGTATGTTTTTATCTTTAACCAAACAAAGAAAAAAAAAAGAAAAAAAAGAAGAAATGTGTGCGTGAAGTGACGCGCCAGGGTATAGCGAGTGAAGGGGGAAGGATAACAAAAGCCAAGGGTAAGACTGGTCAACACTTTGACTTTCTTGTTTGAGGGTGGACCGTTTTGCTTTACACTGAATCTCGTTCTCAAAACATATAATATATATAATTTTAAATATGGTTATCTACGAGTAATGTTAAGTACCAAATAACCTTTGATCAATATTTATAATCAATGGTTCCATCTTTAACTCTGTAATCTTCGAACTGAGCTGAAAAAAAGAGTAGAAAGGATGAAATTGAAACTTTTAAATTTCTTGGGTCAATAGTGAACAAAAGGGGCGGGACGGGGCGGGACGGGGTGGGACGATGGATTCGATAATAAATTTGACCAATTTTTATGCTCAAAAAAATAGAAAACTTTAGGGCCACATGCATTTGTCTACTCAACCATGATTATTTGTGAAAGTAACAAAATCAAACTCAACTCAATAGCCAAGCAAAGGAATGAATTTGGATTGATAAAGAGCAGCCTTTTCTTGGTAGAAATGACCAAAAAAGCATTGTTGAAAGCACTTTCTACGCCATTTGGGTCATCTATCCCTTCTCCAGGGGCTTTCTTTTTTAATGCTTTTTCAAACAAAGCATACCAAAATACCATTCTTTCAGGTAAAAAAGATTCAAACTAAAAGATGAAGAAAGCACTTTTCCACAATATTGCTCTTTTTTTTCTTCTCTCTATACGACAATCAATCACAGAGCTTTCAAACTTTCAGTCATTCTAGATCGAATCTTAATTTATACAAGTAATCAAGTAACTTATGACACTGCTAAACCAAATGAAATGAAGGGTTTTTTTTGTACAAAAAAATGTGAAAAGGGATGTTGCAATTTGTCCATTTAGAGTAAAGCAACTTACAGAAAAAGTTAGAGGAATGAATAATGTATTTTTGTATCAAGGACCAAAATGAAACCTTTTAAAAGCAAGCATTATTCAGACCTGTGTGATTTCAGCTAGAGCAGAAATGAAGTTATGGTTACCTCTTTATGAACTATCACGAATCAAATTGGTTGGCTCACTCAAAACATAGTTGGGTAGTTCATATTTTGTGCCTGCGGTAAGATTGAGCGATGGTATAACGATACCGATGACTAAACTAAAATAACGTATCGTAATTTCTTAAATGAAGCAATGGTATGGACCTCTCTCGTCGTAGCAGATTGTCAAATCTGCATTTTGGATGATTACCCCTGCACTGTCTATGATGGCTTGCGCAAGGGAAAGCTCGGCTTCGGCAGCTGCTCGTAGTGCGTCCCAAATCTCTGGTAACCACAAAAAACAGTTAGTAAATTTTAGTAAGCAGGACGTAAAGGAAAAAGGAATGTATAAAAAGGTTGAAGTCGATGTTAACTTGGAGAGGGGTATGTCATGGCCTAAAGATGCCCATTCATAATATTAGTGTTCGCTTTACTGCAAGGCTCGTATATGTTCAATCATCTTTTTCTCATTTGATTTTTGGTACAAAATGCTACATCAGTTCAATATTCAAATTTTGAAACAATCCGCACTTGAAATGCTAGATCCAAAGATCCTTATCGACTAAAGTCAATTAATGAAAGTGAAAAATGAAAATTAACAGAAATTTGTGCCGTGTATTAGAAACCTTCATATAGATACAAGGTTAAGGTTTGCATCAAACAAAAGCACGGCAAGAGCATAGTCTAAGGCATAGTTAGGGCCAAAACAGTTTGACTTAAATTACAAATAGCATTGCTTTATATCTAGCATACGGAATAAAAACCATTTGGGGGAAGTGAAAGCAGAAGGTTGAAGAAAAATAAGAACTGATGTCTTTAACCACAGATCAATAAGGGACTGCAAAATGAATTGTGGGCGAAGAGAAATTCAAACAAGGCCGGTCACTTCAAAAAATTGTGGCGATTCCCAATGAGCTTTACAAAAATACTAAAGACTATTAAAAAAGAGATAAAAGGGAGAAGAAACCCCACGAAAGTAAATAGATTAACAAGAAGACTACAGAAAAAGGGGGTTAAAAAACGTATAAAAGTGAAGTCGAGACATAAGACTTCTAGTTAATCACGTTCCATAATCCTAGGTAAGTATATAACATAATGGCTCCAAGCCTGAGAAAAAGAAGTTAATCATTTTGGTGTCGCCTTAGCTCTCACAAAGAGTCCTCAAAATAAATCTTTACTCGCAATTTAAATTGATTTGAAAGATGTCTACATCCAAGAGCCAACATTCATGGCATAATTAATAAATAACCATGTAATAAAGAAACATGAATCAATTATACCAAAAACTCCCTATATCACATTTCTTCCAGAAAGCATCCCCTTTGATTTGAGCACAAACCAAAATGAAACAATTGGAAAAGCCTACACATCAAATGAGATTCTTTGATGTTGGCAATGGCAATCTGGAATCAGCATAAAAATAGGAAACCTCGTCTCTCCAAACCGAAGAACTTAGTTCATTAGGAAACAGGAAAAACAATCTAAGGATCCTAGAAACTGGAAATTGATTAACTGTTCTTATAGCTGTGAAATATACCATAGTTGTTTCCAAGGGATAACTCATCCTAACCTTTATTGGGTCCCCTGCAACTACAGTAGTCACCTTTTCCATGGATTGAATGGTCATCTATCCCTAGTTTTACATTTTGCTCGAGACGGAAAATTAGATTCTGAAACCAAAAGTCATGAGCTACTCCGTAGCATGATACAACAATGTAAGGTCTATTCCTAACTAAATAAACTCTTAGTAACTTTTTTGACCAGCTAACCTCTAATAATCCATGCAGATTTTAACACTGGCAAAAAATATTTAGAGACAGGCCTACCTTTTCGGCCACCATAGTGAGGTGCAGTGTCCCAGAACTCCTCCCGCAGTTGCACAAGCTGAAACCTTGTAATTGGCTGAGGATGCTTCCAAGATTTTGGCTTGCGTATTTTCTTTATGGAACCTACATAAAGAAACAATTTCAGTGATATCTCAATGGCTTGAATCAAGTATAAACCAACAAAACCAGATTCAAGGCTAACAGCATGGTAGTCTTGAAAAGTTTAAATGAAATCCTTAGACATTCAGAACTATAAACAACACAAGGAGAATTACAAAAGTTCGTCCTAAAATTTTGCAATTTTCTCTATCCTTTTCTTTACGCTTTTGAAGTGCTTCTTTTCCATTTCAGTATCCTCAAGTGTTTTCTTCCTCTTTAAAAACAAACAAGAAGATCAACAATTCCTGTCATTTGTAATATTTGTTACAAGAATAAAGAGGGAAAGGGAGGAATTTTCACGTACAACTATTACCTTAGACATTTTGCATGTAGAAAAGAGTCAAATGAAAATCACCTCTCCACAAAACAAGCCCATAAAGAGAGTAATTACAAAAGGAACTCGTCACTGCCGCCCAAAGAGAGACATAAATCTTTTAATGGACCAGACATCAAAAGACTTCCTCTCGATCCCTCTAAAAACTATTACGAAAGAAACTCGTCACCGCCACCCAAAGAGAGACATTAAATCTCACAATGGACCAATCATCAAAAGACTCTCTCTCAATCCCTCTAAAAATTATTACAAAAAGAAAAAAAAAAAAACTTGTAACTGCTGCCAAAAGAGAGACATTAAATCTCACAAGGGACCAAACATCAATAAGCTCCCTCTCACTCCCTCTAAAAACGCTATTATTTCTTTTGATTGCAGTATAAAGCAGAAATATAAGATACTGTCCATTTAACTGTTAGTTGCTGAAATTTTAGTCCTGGAATGCTACCATCACAGCTTCACAATTAATCTAATAGAACTCTTTGAATGCGAAACTAGTTAAGCAACAAATATGCCAAGATTCCGACTACAAGTCTTGATAACTTCATTAATCTGAAAGCATAAATCTGTAGTGGAATTTGAATCACCAGCATGAAATGTCAAATGAACCAGTGAGCAATAACTCTAAGCAACCTTCAAAAACCCGTCACTCCCAAAATGAATGAATAATACAACTATTTCCATGAACTAGTGCAATTATCTAAATTTGAGAGCTGCTCATCCTAATTAATGCACCACTACATAATCTGATAATCGCAAGTGAAGTTCAAGAATCTCCTGTCACAGTCACAACTCACAGGACAAACTTACGAACACCATCAGGCAACGCTATGACAGAATAAATAAAATCAAGAGCAATCCAATTCATTACCGAGAAATTCAATACTACTAGACCAACACTCCCGCTCTCCCTACCACAGCAAATCAACTTGCATTGATTATCTTCTAATATTCCTAGTAGCCAAGTCAACAGACGAACATAGAACAAAATTTCGCCGAGAATTTAGAAAAAAAAAAAACACAGAAGCGAAGTGAACCTCACCTTCCCCGTTGGTCTGCGACGATCCAGCACAGCCCATTGCGTCTCGCTAGAACAGAAGCTTCAATTCACAGGCAGATAGAAGGAAAGATTAGGCAGGAGAGGTTATAAACTTTCTTGTACCGTTGAGTTCCGAAACTTTATTATTAATATACTAAATTAAATATTATTATTCTTAAATTTTAAATATAAATAATATATATATATATATATATATATATAATAAATTATTATTAAATTAAAATGTTAAAGTTAATTTGAAACATTTTTAGAAAATTGACGAATTTATTAAATAAAAAATAGTTGGGTTATACATATAATTTATAAAACGTTAGGATAGAAAATATTCAATTAAAATTATAGGTATAGTTGAACACCCATAATTAAACAATTTTAAATTAGGAATATATTAAATATTTTAAAAAAATTTATAGATTTTTTTTAATGCAAAGTTAAAACATGGATAAAGTAAATTAAACGGGCGAGGGAGTTGAATGCGGCAGTTGGCTGTCACGCTTCCTTGAAGGTGAGTCAACCTTTTTATTTATACTCTTTTTTTTTTTTTTTTTTTTCTTCTTTTTTAAATATTTTCAACCGTCAAATTATTTAATAATTTTTGGTGGTTGAAATATATATATTTTTAATACATCTTAAAATTAGTCCATCATTATTTATTTTTTTAATCTTTAACTCAAATTTTTTAAAAAATATTCATATTATATTTTTTTCATTAATTATCTTGATTGATCAAAAAGGGTCGTGAATATAATAATACATTGATCTCTAGCAATGTTTGAGCTCATTTTGAGTTGCTCGTATTGGATGAAAGTCCCACATCGACTAATTTAGAGAATGATCATGGGTTTATAATCTAAGAATACTCTCTCATTCTATTGATACAAGACATTGTGAAGAAACCCAAAGCAAAGCTACGATAGTTTAAGTTCAAAGTGGATAAGTTTGAATTTTTAAATAGTGTTGAAATATTTAAAAAAAGAAAAGAAAAAACCAGAGCATTTATTTATACTGTGGGCTTTTTGGGCCCAAACTGGGTTGAACATTGGGCCGAACCCGGATTTAATGGGCTCGCCCCGTCTCCATCTCTGAACATTTCCAATTTTCCAATCCCGAACGGATTTCAAAGAAGGCGGCTGCCTTATAAGTTTTAATATCTTCATTTCATTCACAATTCAATCAATCCTTGCGATTTTCCGTCGCGTTTGACTCTTCTTCTAGCCGCGTCAGGGTTTGTTTCTCAATCTCTGCCATTTATTTCATCGAATTCTCTCGTTCCTGTGATTATTCGTATCGATTTCAATTTCTAGATCTCTATTGGCTTCTGCATGTCCCATGATTTGATTGCATATAACAGCGATTAGGGTTTTCTTATTGTATTCTGTGGAATCGGTAGAGATCTGGAATTATCTATCTGTGGCTTGTAGATCTGTTCAATGGAGATCTTTAATGTTGAATTATGGACATTTTTTTTCCATTTGTGATGCAGCGTTGTTGATAACAGGTTGGTTGAAGGAAGATGGGAGGTGGATTTAGAGTTCTTCATCTGGTTAGGCCGTTCCTTTCATTTCTCCCGGAAGTGCAGAGTGCCGATCGGAAAATTCCATTTAGAGAGAAGGTTATTTATACCGTCATCGCCCTATTCATCTTCTTGGTATGCAGTCAGCTTCCTCTCTATGGTATTCACTCCACGACGGGCGCAGATCCGTTTTACTGGATGCGTGTGATCCTCGCTTCTAATCGTGGTACTGTCATGGAGCTTGGAATCACCCCGATTGTCACATCTGGGATGGTGATGCAACTCCTTGTCGGGTCCAAGATTATTGAAGTCGACAACAATGTCCGGGAAGACCGTGCTCTCTTGTAAGTTCCGATTTACCACGCTTCCTGATTTTTTGAGTCCTTAATGGAAAATTAAATAGTATGGTTGACAATCATGCATCCTTCTGTTGGATTTGGCGAAGATTATTCCCATAGATGTTCCATTTTCAGTCGTGCCCGACATTAGTTTTTCTGTATTGAAAGAGAAATTTGTTTTCTAACATTTTTTAATCTACTTTTTACAAATGTTTTCAAAACATAGCCTACATTAATTTCTCTGTTATTAGATTTTTTTTTTTTTTTTTCAAAGCTTTAGTTTGTAGTTGAAGTTGGGTGCATGCTATATTTTACTTTCTGTAAGTTATGTATTGGTGAACAATGATAACATGAAGCACTGGCTGCATTTTTTGTTTGTTTAGTACGATGATATTATTTTGTTTATTTGTTTTCTATTGTCTTCCTAAATGTTATTATTCTACAAACTTATTATAAATGCATTTATCTTCACATTGATATCATACTGCTAATTTGATTTCTTTTCTGATCGACATCATCTGAATTCTAATTTGACATGCATACATTTTTTCCAATTATTTTCCACCTTCAGAAATGGTGCACAGAAATTGTTGGGCATCCTGATAGCCGTTGGTGAGGCAGTTGCTTATGTTCTCTCGGGAATGTATGGTAGCGTTAGCCAACTTGGTGTGGGTAATGCTATTCTTATTATAGTTCAGCTCTGCTTTGCTGGTATTGTTGTCATATGTTTGGATGAGCTTCTCCAGAAGGGTTATGGTTTAGGATCTGGAATTTCCCTCTTTATAGCAACCAACATGTGGTAAGTTCTCTTTCCGTTCTGTTATCCTTTCTCGTTGAGTTTGTGTTGTCTGATCACATTGTCATTGATGGATTTTGAAGTGAGAACATTATTTGGAAGGCTTTTAGTCCAACCACCATTAACAGTGGAAGAGGAGCTGAATTTGAAGGAGCAGTCATTGCGTTGTTCCATCTGCTGATTACCCGAACGGACAAAGTTCGGGCATTGCGGGAAGCATTCTATCGACAGAACCTTCCCAATGTGACAAATCTGCTTGCTACAGTTCTGATCTTCTTAATTGTTGTTTACTTCCAAGGGTTCCGTGTGGTTCTGCCAGTGAGGTCCAAGAATTCCCGTGGGCAACAGGGTTCTTATCCAATTAAGCTCTTCTACACCTCCAACATGCCAATCATCCTTCACTCTGCTCTTGTTTCCAACCTTTACTTTATCTCTCAGGTATGTTACATTTTGTCCTTCCATGAACAGCTGCAATATACTTAGCCAATGCCTCCTAACTGATTGCGTGGAATTGTGCTTGCAGTTGCTGTACAGGAAGTACAGTGGAAACTTCCTGGTGAATCTTCTGGGTATATGGAAGGAATCTGAATACTCAAATGGTCAATCTGTCCCTGTTGGTGGTCTTGCTTATTACATCACCCCACCATCAAGGTGATATTTTTAGTTTCAAAAAGAAAAAAAAAGTACAACATAATGCCTATGTTCTTTTTTGTAATATGTAGCGTTTCTTCTTGCAGCTTAGCCGATATGGCCGCCAATCCCTTCCATGCTTTGTTCTATCTTGTCTTCATGTTATCAGCTTGTGCACTCTTCTCAAAAACTTGGATTGAAGTTTCTGGATCCTCTGCCAAAGATGTGGCTAAGCAGCTGAAGGTATGACTTACCTGATCCTGAACGAAGATAAAATTACGCCCCTTCCAGCTTTTCAAAAGAAAAGTCTGCCCATTGTAGTAGTTCATCATCTGAAGTAACATTCAATAGTGATTCTTGATATTGCCTTGTTTTGATTTGCAGGAACAACAAATGGTTATGCCTGGACACCGTGAATCTAACTTACAGAAGGAGTTGAACCGTTACATACCGACCGCTGCTGCATTTGGAGGAATGTGCATTGGTGCACTGACTGTGCTGGCTGATTTCATGGGAGCAATCGGTTCTGGAACTGGAATTTTACTTGCAGTCACAATCATTTATCAGTACTTCGAGACCTTCGAGAAGGAGAAAGTAAGCGAACTGGGTCTGTTCGGTTTCTAAACCTTTTCGCTCAGTTTAATTTATACTTCGATGGTGCCAAAGAGCTCCCTCTCAATTTTGGTGCCTAGGGATTTTCTCAAGTCTTATGTTAACTCATCTTAGGTATCATCACTTTAGCTTTCTTTCACTGTAAGAGCACATAATATCATCTTGAGACTCTGAATCTCCACGCCTTCTCTTTTATGCGTCTTCTTCGATGTTCATTTTTTCACTTCCACAAAACCATAGATTTAACAGATAAAGTCAGGTTTATATGTTAGCTGGGTTATTGTCCCAAGGCGTGGTAGCTGAAACGTTGTTCGTCGGTCAGGTTAGGAGAGCAAGCTACCGTGTTTATAGCTTTTTGAGTTCAAATTTTCAATTTGTAACAACACTGGATGCCTTTTCTTCCTTTTTGAGAGGACTTACGTTGAACAGCTGGTTTTAGAGAGAACCATTTCTATTAAACATGTTATCTTTTAACTGCATTTCTTTGCCATTTTCTCGTTCATACTCGGTTACCTAAAAGAAATATATTGGAATTTTAGCTCCACAGTATGAATCACAGTTAGGTGGAAGCATGGGAATGTTCTTATCATGAAATCGAATAAACCTTGCCCGAAGGAAGTGTCCGAATGGGTGTGTAACAATTTGGGAACCGAATTCAAGGACATCAGAGAGCACAAAAGTAAAAAGACAAAAAAAAGTAAGCCTAATCTAGCTACTCACCAACAGCACTAGTGAACATTTTATGTATGAATATGTATGAGGAACGAAAAGGAGTACAAATTGAAAGGAATCTAATCCAAGCTTACAATATACAAAATGAGGATTATAATCAGAAGAAAAAGCAAAAAGCAGTGCATGGTGTAGGTAGGTGGCTGTTCCGAATGTGCTTTAGCTTAACCAAAAAGCAAAGGCAGATATTCTGGCCTTACCTGCCCAGACAATTGCAGAGTTTTCTGAATCTCCCTTTCGTTCTTCTGCATTAAACATCCCCTTGCAGTTGCAACAGTACTGAGCATGTCTGAGATCGAAGGACAACTGTATATACCAAATTCAAATTCTTCGGTGCAAAATGAGAAGCCAAAGAATGTGAATATTCTTCATATTTTCCATATTTTTGACAAATGGAAGTAAAATTATAGGATTTGTGAATTTTGATTTCTTATTTATCTTTCTTCAATGATAAGAACACAATTAACAGAAACTCATAAGAGAAGCCTAATTTCTCTTCTTTCTTCTTTTTTTTTCCCGAATCATTTTGAATCGCGGATCATAATGGGAGAGAATTGCTCAAAAGTTGTAAGGTGGAATCCATGATTCCAAGATCACCAAAATCCCTGCAATAAACACCAGAAATTTCCAATTAGAATCAAACAACAATAACGAGATAACTTCCACATTCATATGCATATAACCACGACGGATATATACAAGTAAGCTCATACACTTTTGAAGTTCGTATTTGTAGACTGAAACAGAAAATCATGCTTATAATCAATAAAGAAACAATAGCGGTTTATGTGTGATTCTAATTCTTTACCTCGACAATTATGAGCAAGTAAATATAGCTTTTCTGTTTCCTTTTCTCTTCGATTACTCGTTCGCCTGAATAAAAACTCTCTGTGAATACGTTTGTTTCAAGCATAGAACGCAATTTTTTCACGATATCTCAAACAATCCTGAATCTACTGCAGGTTCTTTCACATTATAGCGAATCGATTTCGAAAAGAATAAAACGAAACAGAGCAATCACTACGTAAATCACAATGAGATCGTGAGAGCACTTACTCCGAAACAAGTAATAAATTTCCTCCAAGCCTTCTTCACATTCTCAAGCTTCGAGAGAACCTCATAACCAGAGCAAACATCATCCGGCGAATCCAGAAACACTCGCCGCGGAATCGGCGGAGACCACAAACTACTCTGTTCGTAATCGAAATTGAATTTCGAGGCATCGAAGAACTTGTCGAGAAGGCGATCCGACGCCGATTTAGACACGAGTTGAACGCTCAGACTCCTCGGAGTAGCGCAATCAAGAAATGAAGAAGAAGAAGAAGAAGAAGAAGAAGAATCGGCAGAGGTTGGCATCGGAGAGATGATGGAGAAGAGAAACTTCTCGACGAAGACGAAGTGTTGAAAGCGTACGAAGGTATCGTGAGCGCGCCTTTTTTAGATTGATTGAAGACGTTGGGGGAAAATGCAAAATAGAATATTTAAAGGGGTCAAAATGTGATTTGTTTAAATATTTGGAGACCGTTATGAAACAGTTATTATAGTCCAAAGAATGTTCATTTGGAGTGATTTGGAAGTAAATTAGAAAAATAAATAAATAATTAAATAAATAAATTATACTGAGTACGCTCAATATCTCTCTTATTTAGATGTAATCTCAATTCATTCATACTGTCATTTATCTGTTTGAGAGTCTTAACAATGTCGAAAATTAAACCCTACCTAATATCCGTCCCATTTAACATATGAACTCATTTTTGTTATGTTTAGCCTCGTTTCATATAATAACACCATTGTATTACTCGAGAAATGTGTAAAACTAGGTTATCCTATATTAAATTATTGTTGAGAATTGAATACTTGTTAAAGATATTTAATAATAAATTATAGTTTACCATATATATTATATTTAATATTTTATTATAAGGCAAATATCTAATATTTACCTAATTACTCAAGATATTTTTCAATTTATTACATCTTACATATTCTTCTAATTTATTTGTTTATAAATAAAACTAGTTGTGATGGATTAATGAAACATTCTTATGTTATGAGGGCCTCTCAATTTAACAACCCTAATCCTTTCTTCTCCACCGCCAGTGTGGCTTTGACGCCCCAGGGGCCGTTGTCATGACTCTTTCCATATCCTTATAATTTATTTAATTATAAATGAGATAACTTTTACATCATTTAGGTGTGATGGATTAATCAAACATTCTTAATACTTATGATTATTGTTTTCTGTTTAGATGTTACAATTCTTTTTTTTTATATTGATTTTAGAACATTTTTTAAACCTTACATTGTTTATGTTTTCTAGAATATTCTATGAAGAATAAGGTCAGAGAGTTGAACATACGTCGCTCAGGTCAACCGTGACTCAGAGTCAAGTTGACTAACCAATAATCCCCCAATCAAACCAATAATTAAGGAAAGGAGCGTGCAGGTCCAGAATAAGCAAACGTGGACCTTCCTTCACAACTTCCCTTTCTTTTATTGATTTCACGCACTTCCTCCCACTTGATTTTCTCTCTCTCTCTCTCTGGTTCGATTCTTCTTCTTCTTCCTCGTAAAGTTTGAAGTAAATCGAAGCAACAATGGCGGGTTACAGAGCTGATGATGATTACGACTACCTATTCAAGGTGGTTCTGATTGGGGATTCCGGCGTCGGCAAGTCCAATTTGCTGTCCAGATTTACTAAGAACGAGTTCAACCTCGAGTCCAAATCCACCATTGGTGTAGAGTTCGCCACCAGGACTTTGAAGGTCGATAGTAAAGTTATTAAAGCTCAGATTTGGGACACTGCTGGCCAAGAAAGGTTTTCTTTCTTCTCTCATCTTGATTTATCTTCGTTTCTTGCAATCTCCTTGGTTTTCCTTCCTTTGCTTTCTGTCTGAGTTGTTTCTTGGCGCTTTGGATTATGGTTGCTGCTTACTGTCTTCTGTGTTGGTTGAGTGTTTTGGTTTCTGAGTTTGGTTAATTAGCATGTTCTGGTTCGCCGAGCGGGCTGTAATAACCTAGATCTGTTTGATGGGAGGTGTTTTCTTATCAAGCTTGTGTTCTTATGGTTCAACCGAGTGTTTTATTGCTTTCGAAGTTGGTTCTGATGTCTTCTTACTGCGATATGTTAAGGCTTTGTTCTTCAACTTTCATGGTTGGAAGGGTAATAACGCTGGTTGATGATGGCTAAAAAAGCTTAGATTCAGAAGGCATTGAAGAATTCATTGATTAGATGTTAGTGAAGTAGTTGGGACTCGGTATTGCCTGAGCGGACTCTTGTTGAGGAAGATAATGGCTTCTGTTTCGCAGATCGTGTGCTCTCCTGAGCCATTTCATTTTCAAATATCTTATAATTTGAATTAGCAACAGAAAGTTTTGATTCTTCCAATTATTCTTTCCCCTGTCTCCCGAGAAAGTATAAAGGTATCTGGCTTCCTTCTACAGGAATTCGTCTCCTGTTTTCCATGGGGGATATATTGAAATTCTCTTTCATGCATTGTAGCTCCTCAACCTTTTGATTTGTTTCTCAAAATATCTCCTGGAGGAAAAAAAAAAAAAAAGAAAAAGAAAAAATTATTTCAATGAAATTTCTATTCTGGGTTAGCAGGATCATTGAACACAATAATGACTTAGAAGTAGTTTAGAGTCTCTTTCTAACAAGAGAAACTATGCCATCTGCTGGATTTCTTAGTATGTGTGAAACTTTTGTGTAACTGTCCAAACCCATCGCTAGTAGATACTATCCACTTTTGTCAGTTACGTATTGCCGTCAGCCTCACGGTTTTAAAATGTGTCTGCTAAGGAGAAGTTTTCACAGGGAATGCTACATTTCCCTCTCCAACCGATGGAATCTTGAGCTGTTACATTTTTCTCATAGTTTCTTGGGCTTACTATTCTCTCTCGAACTCAATGACACCATGGTACAACCCTAAAGAACAGATCTTGTTCTAGTAAGGTCGTCGCTCCTAGTCACTTTATTATGAACTTTTCTTGGTTTTGTCTAATTAGCCCAATCTCTCATAAAAACTGAAGCTTCTATGATGGATTGCCTAGAAGATATAAAGGTGCCACTGCCCCCTTCCACAAAATAAGCATCTGACAAAGGAAATGAAATGATCTGCAATTCTTGATGTGTTTTCCAACTCTCGATTAACTATGATTTTACTATTTGTTTTTGTTATACCTTTAATGATGCTCATGGATGTTGATTAGTAGATTGAAACTTTTTTTCTAATAGTTAATAAGATGGCTTCATCATTCATCAATAAGATTCTGGTAGACTGATTGTGCGAGATCTCTCAAGTTTTCTTTAAATTAAATGAGCTGTTCAGATCTACATGGGTTCTGTGTCTATAGGTACCGTGCCATCACCAGTGCCTACTACCGTGGGGCAGTCGGTGCACTCCTTGTATATGATGTCACTCGTCATGCAACATTCGAGAACGTCGATCGGTGGCTAAAAGAATTGAAGAACCACACAGATTCCAACATCGTTGTGATGCTTGTTGGAAACAAATCCGATCTTCGCCACCTTGTTGCTGTTCCAACCGAAGATGGAAAGTCGTATGCTGAGAAGGAATCACTGTATTTCATAGAAACCTCTGCACTAGAAGCAGTCAATGTCGAGAAAGCATTCGCTGAGGTCCTAACTCAGATCTATCACATTGTAAGCAAGAAGGCGGTTGAAGGCGGAGAAAATGGCTCTGCTACCTCTGTCCCTGCCCAGGGGGAGAAAATAAACATCAAAGACGAATCGGGTTTAAACAGAATCAAATGTTGCTCGAGCTAACTTTGGTAATCTGCCTAGATGATTTTCGATTTCATGTAATGTAATATATTTTTTCCTTGAAGATGGTTATGAAGAAAAAGGAAGATACATATATATCCCCAAGACGTTCAATCTTGCTGCATTACAGAAAGAGGAGTACCTTAGCCACATGATTGGTTCGTGGTTGCTGTTGTGTCATTATTAGCATCTTGGTTTCAAGTTTCCATGGAAAATGTCCACCATTTTAGCCTCTACTACCCCTTTGATCTGTATAAGCATTCATGATGTCCTATGATGATAAATGATGTTGATGAACTCTCATATTCATTCATATGTTGTTCAAGTCAGTTATGATGGCTCTTTGAGCTGTGAACCTATATTACTTTTTAGCCTATCTATTTCGGTAAAAAATTATCATTTTGGTCCCTTTTACTTTGATTTGTATCCTATTATTTTTGTTATTATTCCCATTACATTTCATAAATCTTTAAATTTAGTCGATGCCATTAGGAGTGTAGGGAGAGCCCGTTATGCCTTGTTTTTGTTTGACCAGCCTATCCTCTTTCGAGAAGGAAGCTCCCTCCGGTTGTCCAGTTCCTAAGCGGCTCTCGATTTTTTAGCATGTTGGGAGATTAGGTGACAGTTTCAAAACTTGAAAGCTTGATGAACATGCAAATCAAGCCCGTTTTCATTTATTTGGAACCTTTATTTTCTGACGTGAAATTATTATTATTTAATTTAACTTTGGTATAATACTAAATTTAAATAATTGAAAGTATATTAAGTAGAATGTAATTCAAAATTTATTTATAAGATAAAAGATTGAATTAGAAATAAAATAATCTAATATAACATTACCAATTTTTAAATCTCATTCACAAGGTGAGATTTAAAATAAAAATAAAATAATTAATTTTGTTATTATTATTATTTAGAAATTGTCATAAATGTAGTATTTTTTTTTTTTTTTTTTTTAATAATAAACTTGTGAATTGAAGTTCAGAGCCCATTATAAGCCCAACTAGAAACCACATGCGCATAAACACAGACACACACGGCCTCCCGCCCAATTTTGTTCTCTTCAATTTTCCCTCTCGATTTCAGACCGTCGAAACCCCATCGGAGGAACTCGGCGTTTCAATTCTCTACTGTTCGACAAATCTCACTTCTTTTGAGCTATCAAAATCCATGAGAATGAGGGAGGAAGAAATCGAGAAGCTCCGAGGCGTAGTAAGGGACTGCGTGAGCAAGCATCTCTACTCATCCGCCATTTTCTTCGCTGACAAAGTTGCCGCTTTCACTGAGGACCCTGCCGACATTTACATGCAGGCGCAGGCCCTCTTTCTTGGCCGCCATTTTCGTCGTGCGTTTCACCTCCTTAATGCCTCCAAGATCGTCCTCCGCGATCCGCGGTTTCGCTACCTTGCTGCCAAGTGTCTCGTAAGCTTACTTGGAACTTCACTGTTTATCTGTGTTTTTTTTTTCTCTGTTGATTTTAGACCTCCTGTGTTTTTTCGTATGGATTTTGATTTGATGTGTTAGGGGTTTTTCTTGTGAATTCTGTTTATGATGTTGTGGGTCTCTGAACGCGGCTGTGTTTGTGTGGGAATAGCGGGAATTGGATCAGTTGTTTGCAGTAGGAAAATTTGATTACCGGAAATTCAGTTTCTTCAGAGATGAGGAACACAGGATAAGACATTTTGGGCATGTAGTCAGATCTTCTGTTTTTAATAAATGTCATTCGTTTATAAATCTTTGATTGGCCAGGAGGAATTGAAGGAGTGGGACCAATGCCTCATGATGCTTGGTGATGCCAAAGTGGACGAGCATGGCAATGTTCTTGATAATAAGGATCACAGTGGCATGTACCTCGACAAAGATTCCGAGGATCGTGAGATTAATGTACTGTTATGTTACATCATATCAACTTATTTTAAAAGAACACCCTCGGTTTAAGACTTTCAGGATGGTTAGATCATTAGTTTCACAATGGGATTCTCTGTTTTCCTACCTTGTAACAGATAGCCGCAGCTACATGCTTTTTAAGAGGCAAGGCATATGAAGCTCTGGAAAATCGCACTCAGGCTCGACTTTGGTGAGTTTATGAACACATTTTTACCTCCATGAGCGCCTTAACCAGAACCTACAGAGTTATTAAACTGTGAAACTTCAAATTAATGAATGATGTCATTTATTTATTATGATTTTTTGAAAATGGTGTTTAGGTATAAAGCTGCTATCAAAGCTGACCCTCTATGTTATGAGGTAAATATGTTTCTTTGCCGAACTTTGGTATTGCTGAACGTATTCAGCTTAGCGTACTGTTACCATTCTTGTATGTCATAGTTTTAGAAGCTGAAAATTAGTGTTCCTGTTTAGTTAATGACTTGTCCTTTTTCAAAGATCAGGCAACAAAATCTCTCCTTCCTTTTTTGGTGTAGCCATTAATTTGTAAGAGAAACGTAACTTTTTTATTTATGTTTTGGTTTCATTCTTTTAATAGATACCATTTTTATGTCCATTTTTGTCCAGGCTTTGGAGTGCCTAATAGAAAGTCACATGCTGACTTGTGATGAAGGTAAACCTCAATACTACGCATTTAACGTTTTAAAAAGCTATTGAGGTTTATGCCCTCTGGCAATATTCTAACGTTTAGCCTCGAGACTTGCGTCTTCGTTGAACCATAAGAGGCTTACACCTTGTTAAAAACACACTGAAGCTTACACCTTGTGAACTTTTTGATATTTATATGTATTCTGTCAATTTTTCATTGATGAAATATTTAACTTATCATTTATTTTTCAATCTCGCCCCCGTCTTTCGTCAGGATTATTAATAATCTACTTTTATATGATGTGAAATTTCAGAATCAAGTCTACTTTTATCATTGCAATTTGGTCCTGAAGATGGATGGCTATCATCATTTTATGCATGCTTAATAAAGAAGGTAAGAAGGATGCAGCTTATTTTTCTTCTATTACGAGCAATGAATTCTGAACAAATTTCTACTATACTCATTTTAATTGTTGTAAAATTCTCACTAATTTGTTTCTTTTCTTGTTCTCCAGTATGATAAAGAAAATATCATTGAAGCGAGATTCAAAGAACTTGAAAGGGAAAGTTGTAATTCTGAAAGTTACGATCCATCATTTACTCGAACTTTAAAAACTAACACCGATCTTTTAGCTTGCAAAGCTGAATACTACCATCAATGTGGTGAATATCAGAAATGCTTTGAACTTACCTCTGTGTAAGTCTATAACTATCTCGGAAACTAGATCAATATATTCCTATGGTTTTGTTAGAACTATCCTTTCTTTTTTTCCTACCTGGGTTTTTATTTATTTATTTGTTTTCCCCCTTCCATTTACAGTCTCCTTGAAAAAGATCCCTTCCATTTGAAAAGTACACTGGTACATTTAGCGGCTGCAATGGAGCTTGGACATTCGAATGAACTTTATCTAATGGCATGCAACCTGGTCAAGGACTATCCTCAAAAGTGAGTGTTTTGTGTAGCTGAACTTTATATTTTTCAGTTGGTGAAAAATTCAAAATATCTTATTTGAAGTAAATATTTCATGGAAAAGTGAAGGATTTAGCTTTCCTTGGATGAAGCATGATTTGATAAGTTTGGGATCACACCCATAATATTGTTAGATTTGGACTTCCCTTTGCTATTTGTTCATCACTTATTTTGGATATCATTTCAGGGCTTTGTCATGGTTTGCCGTTGGTTGCTATTACTACTGTATCAAAAAGTATGATCAATCGCGTCGCTATTTCAGGTGAATGTGACTGTTTTACGCTCCTTTTTTTCTTCTTCTAAATATACTTTTGTAATTGGAGGTTTAACAGATTCTAGTCGGATATGATACTATTGAAAACTTCAAAGTTTCTTGATGATGACCCGTTTGTCCACCTTTGCCCATTTTTATCTTTTGCAACAAGTCTTATTTGCTCGGATATTTCTGAGTCAACCATTTCTCATGTGTTACGTTGCAAACATATTTCATAATAAGGAGTTCGATATTTCCAATACAAACTCTTTTCTGATATCTATTATTTATTGTTTTCTATAGCAAAGCCACAAGTCTGGACGGAACATTTGCACCTGCTTGGATAGGTTATGGTAACGCTTATGCTGCTCAAGAAGAGGGTGATCAAGCCATGTCTGCCTATCGCACTGGTGCTCGATTGTTTCCTGGGTAATTAATTTTTTAATTCTTCAGTTATTTTATGTTTTGTTTTTAAAATTTGGTAGCAAAAGGTGTGAAATTATTTAGGTTATTAAGCAATCCCTTTATTATCTGTTTAGTTTTTTAAATGATAAATGATGGAAATTTTGATTTTTTATCATTTTGTAAAAATTGTGTGGTTGTTCATTTGTAAGTTTCTCTTATTTCATGAAATTCCCTTCTACAGGTTGAATCTTGATATTCTTTTATTCCAGGTGTCATTTACCAACATTATACATTGGTATGGAATATATGCGAACTCACAGCTTCAAGCTTGCTGAGCAGGTATTTCCTAAACCTCATGCCATCATTGACAAACCTGGCATGAATATTTCTTTCTTATTCTCAATTCCTTATGTATTTTCAGAACCTTTAGGCCTCATATTATATGATGGCAGAATCCTGAGAATATAATATTATTTAAGATTTGCATCAAAACCTAGTTTGAAATGTTTTAGGAATGACAAAGAAGGTTCATCCAAATATATTGATTTTAATTATCTGTTCACATATGTGAGATTCCACATTGATTGGAGAGAGGAACGAGTGCCAGCAAGGACGGTGGCCCCCGAGGGGGGGAGACCCCACATCGGTTGGAGAGGGGAACAAAACATTCTTTATAAGAGGGTGGAAACGTCTCCCTAACAAACGTGTTTTAAAAGGCTTGAGGGGAAGCCTGAAAGGGAAAGCCCAAAGAGGACAATATCTATAGTGGGCTTGGGCTGTTACAACATCTCATTCATGTCTTGTATATGTCGGTTCTTGGTTGCCCTCTTTGGTCTTCCCTACATTTTCTTACTGATAAAAAAAAAGAAAATTGAATAGTTTTCTTTTTCATTTGTTGTCTCTCAAAATGTTAAGGTCTGAATGGTCTTTTCTTGTTCAGTTTTTTGTGCAGGCAAAGACAATTTGTTCATCAGATCCTCTTGTTTACAATGAGCTTGGAGTCGTTGCTTATGACATGAAAGAGTATCTATATTTTTCTCTTTATTCTATCTATATCTTGATTTTTCACTCAATAATTTTGTTTGAAGGTCTGCTTCCTGGCTCAGATAGTGGTTCATTTTTATGTATATTGAGATTACCGTACAAAACAAGATCATAGAACTTTGGTGTTGTCTTAATTTCTACTCTTTGATGGTTTCATCTTAATTGTTGATGTAAGTGACTATTTTATGCTTAGGTACAATA